GCACACTTACATCAGAAAAAGATGAAACCATCCCATTCACATAAAATAGAACTGCAATTTTAAAAATAAGATACAAACAAAAACAAACAAAAAACTTTTCAACTGATACCAGATGCTGGTACAAAAAATCCAGCAAAAATTTCTTATAAAAAATAAATTTTGTATCAATAGAAATTAGTATTTATTGATGTTTATAAAATTATTTATTTATATATATATATATATATATATATATATATATATATATATATATATATATATATATATACATGTGTGTATATATATACATACACATGTATGTATATATATATATATATATATAAATATATATATATATATATATATATATATATACATGTGTGTATATATATATATATAAATATAGATATATATAGATGTATATATATATATATATATATATATATATATATATATATATATATATATATATGTATATATATATGCATATCGCCGGGGATAGTGCAAAACCGCCTAACTAGCATTGGATAATAACCCGTATCTATAGTCCATTTTTTTTACTGGAGGAGTTTAAAACTTTATATATCTTTTATTATAACTGATTTTGGGTTCATTATAGTAATAAGAGTATTATTCATGTTTTTTGTAATCTCAACAATAGATATTTGGTGTTGAAGTTAATAATATCCCAATATATTAGCCAATGCTAGTTACGCAGATTTGCACTATCCCCGACAATATGTAATAAATATGTATATATATATATGCATATATATATATATATATATATATATATATATATATATATATATATATATATATATATATATATATATATATATATATATATATATATATATATATATATATATATATATATGTATATATATATATATATATATATATATATATATATATATATATATATATATATATATATATATATATATATATATATATATATATACATATATATATACACTAACTTACTTTTATGAATTAAGGATATATAAAAATAATGAAATTATTTTTGCAGACCTGGATGAAAACTTCTATTTACAGTGTGTAAAGACTTGTTCATCAAATTTTTGTAAACAAAGTAATGTGTCTGTTAATGATTTGATTGGTTCACATGTTTGGTTAATCAGCAGTCGAATTAATCATTCTCCAGGACATAGTATTCTGACAGTATTTTCATATGAAAATTATAAATATGTACATGAAATTGTAAGATTTTTTTATTCATTTTTTGATTTGTTCAAATTTTGAATTGTAAGATTTTTTTATTCATTTATGATTTGTTAAAATTTTGCTTTGATTTTAACAAATACACCATTACCTTAACTCAAGTATATTTTGTGTTTAGTGCATTAATACAGTAGACTAATTTCTTCTGATGGAGTGTACCTATGAGATCATTTTTTATAATTTTCTTTTTAGAATATTCAACTTAAGGAAAATATTATCATAGCATGTTTAGTTGGAAATAAACTGTGG